GGGGTAGTTTATTTTTTAGCGGGTAGGTTTTTTGGAGTGGGATGATTTTTTGGAGTGGGATGGTTTTTTGGAGGGGGATTGTTGGTTTAGGAACAAGGTGCAGGTGCGATCAGGGTGGATGGGATGAAGGAGAGGAAAAAGGTGGCAGCGGGGTCCGTCTCTTATAGGAATGGGTCCTGAGGACCCAGTCCATGTGATAGGCCTACTGTGGCCCTAACGGGCCGAGGGCCAGTCGGCTTCCGAATGTGCACAGACGGGATCTTCGAGATGTGGCCAGGCCGGGCGGCTGCAAATCCTCCAGCTGACATCAAAATTTCGGTGAATACAGCGGGCTGATGGGGGGTCCGGTCCGCTTGAGAATGAGCACAGACGTAAAGCCGGCCGACCTCTGAGAGCCCGCTGCCCTCCCTCCCAGTCCACGTTTGAATTAAGCTCTGTCGTGTCGCCCCTCTCAAAGGATGATGACCGGTCAGACTCAGAGGTAGCACGGACGGGAGCTTGAGGCAGCCGGTCGGATCACACAAATCAAACGAATCGCCAGCCACTCATCCAGCCGGCTTTGAAGTCATCGCCGGACATGTCGCGACTATTGTGACAGACTGAAAAGCCCAGTCAGCTCTAGAATCAGCACAGACGGGCTGCTGTAACCGGAGGCTGGATCCGGATTCCGAGCCGAGCCGAAGTGGCCGGCCACATCAGTCGACTTCGAAATTCCACATGTGTGATGTTGGTGATCGGATGTGCGCTCGGTGCGTTCGTACTTCGCCCGATATGTAGCTTAACTAGCTTAACTTAAATTCATCTGCATTTTCAAGAAGTTAAGTTAGGTTAAGTTTGTATTGATTATCTCCGACTGGACTTTCACAGCAAAAAAAGGGAAAGACTTCATATACTTACAATCGACGATCTCACTTTATCCTCACTTTTCTTCGAAAGCAAACTGACACACGAAAGAAACACACAAAGAATCAAAGAAAGAAAGAAAGACAGAAAGGGAAACTAGTCAATTAGATATTCAAGTCAAAGCAGAAAAAAAAAACTCAAAACCGACATTGAAAACAACAAAACAAACTAAACAAACAAACAAACAAGAATACCAAACAATCAACAGTCGTCTCCTCGATTTTTATTAGGATTAACACCTGGAACGGAGCTTTGAAATCAACCAACCAACCAGCCAACAATCAGATCGGGACTTTTTTCGTATTTAATCATTATACAAGTTAACAGATGTCAGCGAATCGAAGAATTGCCAAGGTAAATCACCCTTCTTCTTGTTTTCTCGAAATGATTGACATTCTCTTTTGGCCTGACGGGAATGTGGTCGAATGTTTCTCTTGTTCATCCATCGGTCTGGGTCCTTCTCTTGTTTAGGAATATACCGATCTGCAATCTAATCCTATCAATCATGTGACGATCGAACCTGATGAGAATAATGTCTTGCATTGGACTGGTGCGTTCTTCCTTCTCTTATCTTCTCCTCCTCCTTCTCTTTACTTGTCCTTTTGTTTTCTTTAAGAAAAGAATTAAACTGTGATTCAAGAAGGAATAAGGTTTACTTTTTCCACTTTACAATCGGTCCCTTCCTCCCAAAAAAGAAGACAACAAAGGAAAAAAACCCCGCTGACAATTGACATCTACCTCCTTCTTTTACCATACTAAAAACAAAAACGGAACAAAAAATTAAAGGAATTATGGAAGGACCTGTGAGTCATTCTGTGAAGAAATGTTATGGATCATCAATCAGAAGTTCTAACGATTTTTTGATACTGCTTGATTAGACAGGATCGTGTTACGAAGGAGGAAAGTTTAAGATAGAAGCGACGTTTCCATTAGAGTATCCATTCAAAGCGCCGGTCAGTATTCGAAATCCTACTTACCGCAGTAATCTTCAGCTAGATCGATCCTTCTCCTCAATCGATTGAATTTTTTTCTCAATATGCATTCACTGACACACAAAATCTATAATATCTACATGTGTTTTGAATCTCTTTGGAATGAAAAAAAAAAAAAAACAAGACGATTAAATTCTTGACTAGGATCTATCACCCTAATATCACCCAAGAAGGATTACTCTGTATAGGTCTATTGAAACCAGATGCTTGGAAACCGTCGATCAGGATCGAACATGGTCCGTTCTTCTTCCTCTTTTTATTCTTGCTCCTCATCTTGACCAATCCCTTTCTCACTCGGAATAGATGACTCATTACTCATCCTTAATCTCTATTTGACTGCTTTTGTTTTTCTTATTGTGATGTAGTCCTCAGAGCGATCGTGAATCTCTTAGTCGAACCCAATCGTCAGTTTTCTTTTCATTCCCAGCTTGAAACACTCATGTATTCAAACTCGGAGGGATTCTTACATTATTATCTTTTGTTTGGGGATGGGTTATGATGATGATGGATAATAACATGTAGCCGAGGATGCGATTGTGGCTAGCATTGCTGAACAGTTCGATAAGGATTATGAGTTGTTTAAGGTTACTGCTCAAGAACATGTTCGTAAAGTGAGCCAACCCATTTATCTTCCTTTCTTTAATCGCTTCTTCTCACCGTTCAACATTCATGTTTTTTGACTGTTTTTTTTTGTGTGTGAATGGTAGTATGCGACTTGATATGACAGAGCCCGATGAGGAGTTGATTAAAAGTTATCCATGAAAAAAATCAGAATGTTTTGGAGAGTCTGATTTAATCTCTGATCATCTTATTTACTCTCTTAACTCAATAGATCTTCAACTTTTGCTTCTTCTTCTTCTTCTTCTTCCCTCCTCTCTTCTTTTTTTTCCTTATTGCAAAAAATCCTCAAAAAAAGTGTCGTTGTAGTTGTAATTATTTGGGATGATCTACATATTTTAATTTATAGTTTGTGAACTTTATTGTTCCTTAATTATGTCTTGTCCTCTTCCTTATAACTTACTTGGCCTGATTTTCTCTTCTTTTCTAAACTGCCTACCTCAAATGATCAAGTACTTGATGAAAACACAAAAAAAAACCGTTTTTGCAGATGAGATCTCAACTGGATTCTTCTTTCTTAGGTTTCTTTTATTTTGGAGAGCTTTTCTATGATTCTCAGAGATTTTACATGTATCAAATTTTTTTCTTAATCTAATTTACTGAAAAATCATGAAGACGGAATCAAATGATTTATGGAGGTGCTTGGTTTGTGTAAGAAGTTTTTGTGAGTTAGCTTTGGGGGATTACATAGACAGAAAAGCTTTTTGATAGGTGTGAATGAATGAGAAAATGAAGCATTTTGATCATAAACCTTGGCATTGGAGATAAGGTTATGACATAATCTTTGATGAACAGGATTATGTTAACACTGATTAGTACAACTGGATGAAGATCTGTTGAGGATGGAACAGCCAATTGTAATAAACCAAAGTGGAATATTTATTGCTGTGGTTGATCCCAGCAGAGGTTGTTTGGTTACCCTGGGCAGTTGAGGAGTGCCGATGGTCATAAAAGGGAATGGCTGTTGCTGAGGGAGTGGGAAGCGGCATGCCTTGCCTGACACCCCTCCATCCATCTCCTCCCAGACTTCCAACCAAGAACCACGAAGATGGCTGCGAACATCCCACTGCCTCAATCACCTTCACCCTCAACATCCTCATCACCATCACTGCCAAAAGAACCATTAACAGAAGAGCGAGGAACGACCGAACAACAACAGCAGCAACCAGAAATAACTGAAAAACCACAGGAAACAGCTGAACAACAACAAGAAACAGCTGAAAACCATGCTACTCACATCGAACCATCACCACCACCACCACCATCACCCTATGAGTCAACGCTTCATTCGATCATCCAAGCACTACTACCCATCGTCTCTGGACAGAATACCTTACTCTCACTCCATCATACTCTCAATGAACTCTCTCAGAAACCCAATACCAAGCTAACCGAACAAACCAACCAACTGCTCAACTCACTCAATGGTCAGTTTGATTTTTTATTATGATGTACTTCTGTTTATCATCTCTACTGATAGATGGCTGAGTATTTTAATTATCACGGTGTTTTCAGAACGATTTGATCAATTGGATCGATTGAAGGTCTGTGATCCAAGCAGCAACCCAATCAGCCAACTAAAACTTGATCAACCACCACCGCCAGATCCACCAGACAAAATCGAAATAGAAGAAAAAGCATCTCAAGAAAAACAAGCGGCTATCCAAGCAATGAAAACCGAACTAGAGACCACTCAAATCAAACTGAAACAGGAAGAAGAGAAGCGTGCAAAATCAATCAGTCTCTTACGGGCCGTGCGACAGAAACTGGTGCAGACCGAAAAGGATAAGAATGCATTGGAGAGCGAATTGAATGAGATGAATAGCAATTCGAGTTCCAAGATCAAAGAGTTACAGAGCGACAAAAGGTCGTTAGAGGATGAATTATCTAAGTTGAAAATCACACAAGAACAGCAGCTTTCCAAGTTACGACATTCCTATGAACGAGAGAACCAGTCGATCCGGAGCCAATTTGAGCGAGAGAAGGCCTCAACCAAGTCTCAATTCGAGCTAGACACGATCACGGCCAAGGCGGCCTATGAGCGAGAGCTGACGAACCGGAACCAGAAGATCGGCCAATCTGAGGGCAGACTACGGGAGGTATCAGGAGAACGGGATCGGCTGTTCGAGCAGCTCCAGAAACGCCAGGCCGAGCTCGAAGACACTCGAGCACAACACGACGAACTCAAAGGGAGCGTGGACGAACTAGAACATCAACTCAAAGAATCACAGAATCGGATCCATGTGCTCTGTGAAGAACTAGACCATCTCCAGAAGCTCAACTCGACCCAGGACTCTCAACAGGGAGGACTACAGACGATGATCCAAGAATTGGAACAGACCCATCGGAATAAGACTCAAGCATTAGAACTCAGGATCTCTCAGCTGGAGAAGGAACGGATGGATGTCGAGAACGAGTTGGGCGAAAGCTTGCGTGATCGGCTCGCTCAAATCGAATCCCTTAGGAACGAGGCGAGACTCAAAAATATCGAATATGCTGATAGCCTCAATAGTACGGCCCAACGTAATCAGGAAATCTTGAAAAGTGACGCCGAACGAGAGCTCTTGAAAAATCAACTGCTTTCTGCTATTCAAACTCGTGACTCTCAGACTGATTTAATCGCTAATCTTAAACAACAACTGGTTTGTTTTTTCATCTATTTGCCTTCTAATAATCCTTGACATCTTTTCAATTAACATTTTTTTTGATTTTTTTTTCCTAATTAAACAGGAAGAACTACAGGAAGAATGGAAGAAAGATAAAGAAGAATTAGGTAAATTAAGAGTAGAGATAGAAGAGAGTCAATTACGAGAGAAAACGCTGAAAGAATCGAATCAGAAGTTGATCGAGAATGAGATCAAAAAAGTCGAGGAAGTCAAAGGGCTCTTTCTTCGCGGCAAGATCGACCAAAATCCGGATCTTCGGAGGGAAGGCGTCGGATATTTTGCGAACTTCTCGAGGAAACAATCGGTTCATCAGGCGACGACTCTATCTCCTGAGAAATCTTCTTTCGCTTTGCCGTCTTCTTCTGCTTCTTCGTCAACAGCAGCAACATCGCCGACTAGGAATGTAAGGAGGACGAGTGGAGTGGAAGTGCGAGTCGACAGAAATGAGTCGGATCTCAAGCAAGAAAGAACAGATAGTCTCAATACTCTCGACCATCAGCTTCCTCCTAATAACAACCACCATCAACCTCAACATGAAAATCACCATTCTCTCTCAGTCTCGGACCCCTCTAATCCGTCTTCTCCAACCAAACAATCTTCTTCTTCTACGATTACTACTCTTCAGAATCATACAAAGGATCATAATAATGGGAACGTTATTGTTAATGATCATCAACATTATAACGATAATGAGGCGGAATTGAATTTCGAATATCTTAGGAATACGTTGTTGCAGTTCTTGGAACATAAAGAAATGCGTGTATGTACTTCTTTCTCTTTTCTCCTTTTGTTTTTGGAAGAGGGGGGGAGGGGAAGGTGTATTTGTTGATGGAGTTTATTGACTTTGGTGTTTGTTTGGGGTTGGTTTGGTCGGTGTGTGTGGACAGCCTCATTTGGTTAGAGTCTTGGGCGTCATTCTGCATTTCACTCCACAAGAAATTCGAGTCAGTTTTTGTTTCATTTCATTCCTTTCTGTCAAGATAAACTTTTCCATTATTATTTATCTGATCATGCATGGGGCTTTTCTTGCGGATTGGGTGTTGATCTGGACTTTTTTTTTTTGGTTTCGGTCTTGAACAGAGATTAGCTTCAAAAGTTTGATTCTCTTCTCTCAGTATTTGTTTTTGCATATTTTCATATTCGCACCAGCTTCTCTCTTCTTCAATATAACCTCTTCTTTTTGGTTATTGTCGATCTTTCTATGTGGTTTGATTTTGCTTTGTTTTTTGTTTGGTTATTTTGATCATCTTCTCATCCTACATATTTACACACTGGGATGAATGATTATCTTCATTTTTTTGCTTTGCTTTGTGTTTGTTTTTTTCTTTCACTATAAATCATATATATGTGTATTCAATTATCTAATTGGGTTGAGTGAAATGTTCTATTCTAGAGTGTTTTTTTTGTTCTCTTTGGATTTCAAATCTTTTGATCCTTTTTCATTTCTTTTTCTTTTGCATACCACTTAAGTATGGGTTCATGTAAATAGGTGCTGGTTTGTGCAATTGATGTTTATGCAACCATGGTTTCATGGACATCTTGCTAGACTTTTTGCCCTGTCCCACACCCTCATTTTATGGCTTGAAAGTCCTGGTTTACACACTTGCTATACAAACCTGACTTAACACAAGCCCTTTGATTGGAGGGCCTGGTATGCCCAGGCTGGTGTGAAGTGAGCCTTCAAGGGAGGGGCTTGAAGGTAAGCCCTGAATTTTGGTGTGAGAGCTTTGCCCATTTTAGGTGGGGGGAAACTCCCCCCCCCCCCCCCCCCCAATCCAGTCCTTTGCTCCTACACTGATCCAACACCTGCTGCAACGATCAAAAGAGATTTTCTTTCTCTTTTTTCCCATGTGATTCATGTTGTCAACTTATCAGTACTGGTCTCTTATGTGACCAAGTGCTGATAGGGTTTTGGGTCTCACTATAACCACTGATGTGGGCAGTGGAAGTGAACCTCTCCTCAACACTTAAAAGTGGAGGGGTTTGTGAATGATCAAACTAAAGGTTTATATTTCTTATGAGTAATGATGAATGAGAAATATAACAAACAAGAGAAAAAGATTCTAACCTAAAGGCAAACAACAACAGGAGAGAGACAAGCAACAATAAGATAAGGACTCAAGCAGAGTCAAAGAAGAAGAATGACTAAAGAATGTTCTTGATGTTAATATTCCAATAAATGCGGTGATAAACAATCAAGACATCAACAACCTACCAAGATAAAAAAGACCAGATGGCTTTCTTGATGTTTGGTGATAAGTCAGAAGGAAGGGAAAGCACGTGGTCAGTCGGCAATTGATTTGTAGGAAGGGAAGTGCTTAGATCACAAGAGTTTTGGAGAGAAGAGGGATGGTCGACAAATAGGAAAAGGTGTCAAGAGAAAGGATAGTGTTTAAGCTTTGCCAAGCGGTGGAACAGGGGTGTTTGTTTTGATGAAAGAGAACAGCGCAATGAAGAAGATTTAATAGTATATGGCCTAATTTGTTGACCATGAAGTTCCAAGAGCGAGAAAGAAGGAAGACGTGATGATGGAGTGATTTAAGTATTGGATGATGAGGCGATCAGTGCTGAAGGTTTGCAACCAAAGCACGCTTTCTTTGGTTGTGACAAGATTGCAATGATGTCATGTGCCCTGACCCAGTCTGGAGGGAAACAAGTTTGAGCACCTCGTGCTCAGATTTCAACAGGGTTTGCTCCTAATAATAATAAGGGACAACAGTGGAATGAGCTTAGCCTTTACTGTGCCTGAGCTTTGGGGATATAAGAGAAAAGGGTTTTCTAGTCTATGAAGTTGAAGGTTAAATTGTGGACTAGTGATGATAATTATAATGGATAACACTAGTGACAATGATATAGATAATAAACTACTTCAAAAACCCTACTCACTTGTGATGATATTTAAGCAAGGTTGGTGGGGTTGTATGGTAATAATTGTCTGGGGGAAGGATTCCTAGAGGGAAGACCCTCCCCTTGAATATTGCAAAGAAGAGGCAACAATGGACCCGCTATGCTAATGGCAGCATTAGCGCAGCATAATATAGTGGAATTCTGCTCAAGTTTAGCATAGCACTGTGGAATTCTGCCACAACTGTGATAATGCTACATGTGTGGGCCACCAAAAAGGGCCCACTACACTTTGCTACAGCACGTTTTATCAGTTTTTTGGCTGTTTTTGCTGCTAAAAGCACTGTAGTGCAGCAAACATAGTGAAGTGGCACTACAGGTTTGGCACATTTTTTTGAGGGCCACTACACTAACGAACTTGAGTGTAGTGGCCCATTGTTGGTAGAGGTTAATCTGCTTGTGGGAGTGGTATATGAGGACTGGTATGGTCCCCATATAATTACACCATTTCCTTGGGAAAAGGTGACATGATTTTCAAGTCATTGTAAATGTCCACATGTTAAATTTCTCTCTTATTTTAGAAGATGATACACAAGACAGAAATGTAACATAAACACTTGAGAATAATCTCTGATGGATAAATAAAAACAAGAGAGATAATTTGCCTTTCTCACATGTATTTTATTTTCATAAGAGAGAGGCAAATGTGTGTATATTAATTTAAAAAATAACTAAAATAATAATAATTTCTATGTAACCTTGACAGTGGAGGGGTTGCAATCTCATGTAGACACATGGACTAGTGTCTCATTTTCTGACACATGTTGAGGTTGGGTTTTATTTGCCCTTTGGTTTCTGATTTTCAAGTTCCATTTTTTGTCTATCTGTCAACCAGAGAATTAGCTGTGTATGGGTAGGACATTCCATCAACTCTACAGTACAACTTACTTGTGTTGAAAATAATTCTCTGGGTCCTGACCTCTAGCCTAGCTTGCCTTGATGTGTGCTGCTCAAAGTTTTCATGGCACATTGAAGTCAAGATCCCCAACTTGCTCCTGAGCTTGAAAGCAACTCATCATGATGTCTGATTTCATTGTTATGATCCATTGAATGAATTAAAGCTGGTCTCTGGATATCCGTTGCGGATATCCGTTATCCGCTGGCGGATACCCGCCCACTGTAGCGGATACCCGCCAGCGGATGCGGGCTCGGGTGCGGATGTGCCCTTTCCGCTGATTTTCCAGCGGATACCCGGGTATCTCAACGGATACCCGAGGCCGGAAGGGCAGATGGCCGGCTGGAAGGGTTTCCTTCCAGCCGGCGAGGTACATGTACCTCGACAGCTGGAAGGAAATCCTTCCAGCCGCCTCGCCGGCCCTTTAAAGGGCGGGGTATCCGTGGATACCCGCTCGGATACCCGCTGCGGCCCGACGGATACCCGCTAGCGGGTGCGGATGTGGTCTATTGCCAATATTCAGCTCAAGACTTATGGTCTTATCTCATCTTCTTTTGCTTCTTTTTTTCTTTCTTTGTCTTGCTCAATGTTCTTGCCTCATCATGTTCTGTTGTTTATTTTTAGGTAGAAACATTTTCTTTTTGTTTTTTCTCATGGGTTTCTTGTCTCTTTCTCATATTAAAATCTGCTCTTTAGTTTGACCATTCACAAATCCATGTCAACACAGCCTCAACTAACTGCTCAGACATGCTGGTCCAATAAGTCCTCAGACCGGCCTGTCTGAGCTGTTCACAGATATAGCTGTATGGCGACTTGTTGAACTGGCTTGTCCAAGCAGTTGAGGGGCGGGACTATCTGCTCAGATGGGCAAATCCAACCTTTCCTTGGACAAACATGCCCAAGAACAGCTCAGACAGGCTGATCCAAGGACTTGCTGGACCAGCATGTCTGAGCAGATAGTTGAGGCAGTGCAAGGCACTACTCTAATTTGGTTGGAAATCTCCAGTAGATGCTATTTGTAGATTTTATTCTCTATTTCTGTTAACATTGACCTAGTTCAGCAAGCACTATGGTTCACTGAAAGAAGAGAAAGACATCCATGGTGGGCCAAGTTTGTGGATTCATGACCAACCTGGCAACCCAACCTTGAAGATTTCTGCATGTCACAGTTGTTACATGAACAATCTTGATGTCTGTACACTTATACACACTCACCATTCACTAAGACAAATGTAATGCTTTCCAAATGAAACTCTCAGTCAACAAAAGAAAAGGTTGGGTCAGCCTACATGAATCTTTCAGGTATAATCCAATTCAATTCTCTTGTACCACAAACAAGGAAAGAAGACAAGTAATCAAAGACAAACCACATGAAAAAGTGAAACTGATGATGCTGCTGTTGATTCTGAGATACTTCTTGGAAAAAAGGAAGGCACAAGATTCCAAAATGGGTTTTGTACAGGAGAAAGAAATTAAGCGGTATGAGGATGTGCATTCTGGAAGTGGGTGACATTTTGAAGGCAATGAATGAGGATGCTTTGCCAGAAGGAGAAGGATGATAGTGCTGATGGTGGTGATGACGATGGCATGTATTTGGAACTCAAAAAGGCAGATACCAGAAAGAATTCCAGAAAAAAAAGAAGCAAATGCCCAAGCCCAATATTGAGGGACCAAGAAAGGGTCAAGATGTGATTTTTAGACATATATTGACACTCTTATAATCATGCATCTGGAAGAGAACATAGACAATGATATGACATTCTGCCTCTTTGACTTGCGAATGAAGTGGGAAGGTTCAATTGATATCTCAAAATCCCAAGATGGAGTGAAACAAAAAATGGAAAAAGAAAAGTTGCTTCCAATTCAGCTTGTTTGAGAAGTGAGAGAAGCGAGTCTAATCGAGTGGAAAGTGGGAGCATCATGGAATTTTACAGCTTATGGATGACGGGTTGGGTGTACTGGGAATGTAGCCCTGTGTGTATCAAGAGAGCCTATGAGTACTCAGGCAAACAAAAGTCTTAAATAAATGTGAATTTACTTACATTATGTCCTCCGTCGTCGTGTACCATACCGCCAACAGTACCGTCCTTATGAGCACCATTAATACGCAGACTGTCCTTCATTGGTTTCTCAAACGCGTCAGTCTCAGCCTGATTGGGCTCGAAGGAATTCGGACTGGCTGCTTGCTGGGGTGTATCGTCGACACTTATACTTGTCCCGCGGCTTCCTCGGGTACTTTTGGGACCAGTGGCATGGTTGCTACTGTTTGGTAAACCGACACATACGTCATTTTGAATAAATTGAGCTTGTATTTCATTGGTTAAGCCCATCGCATCAGCAGCCGGTATAAGTGATGTCGAATCCATCGGGCCAGATGATACGAGCGTAGTTCCATGATTGCCGTTGGCAGATAGTGATGAGTTGTTTCCAGGCATGGAATCTGAGACGAACGAGCTGGAGGCTGTGATCGGTTGGCAGGCTTTCTTAGACCTCAAATCACCTCGCTTGTTTTCTAGTTTTTCTAAATATTCTTCATCCACCCCACCGGTAATGTATTGCCCATTAAAGACAGAGCAATCGAACTGGGTGATTTCCGGGTTGAATGCGGCACAACTTTGGATAAGGTGCTCCAGAGTTTGGAAAACTACCTTGTCGGCCCCGATATCACGAGCGATTTCATCTTCAGTTCGATTGTGAGCAACAAGCTCTTTCCTCGACGGCATGTCAATACCAAATACGTTTGGGAAACGGATGGGTGGGGCACATGATGCCATGACGACAGCCTTAGCACCAGCATCTCGGGCCATCTGAATAATTTCTTTCGATGTGGTTCCTCGCACGATTGAGTCGTCGACAAGCATCACCGTTTTGCCTTCAAATTCCATCGCCATTGCGTTGAGCTTGCGCCTAACGTTTTTGCGTCTGTAAAGAGTATGATAAAGATCAGCTGAAGTTTGTGAGCAGTCATGAATACTACTAGGAAACACGCACCTAGTCTGTTGGCCAGGCATGATAAAAGTCCGTCCGACATAACGGTTCTTGACAAACCCTTCCCTGTAGGGAATATTGAGACCTTGGGCACATTGCAGGGCTGCTACTCGACTCGTGTCAGGCACCGGAATGATAACATCGACAGTGATGTTGCATTCGGCAAGGATACGTCGGGCTTCAACGGCGAGGGCATCACCCATGGCCATCCGACTTCGGTAGACACTGATTCCATCGATCACACTATCGGGACGAGCGAAATAGACGTATTCGAAGATATCGGGTGCAAACGAGCGTTGTTGGGTTGCTTGACGAGTCTTGACACCGTGTCTGGTAATAATCAGCGCTTCACCTGGCTTGACATCTACCCAGTCCGAGAAACCATTGGCATCGCAGGCTACACTCTCCGAGCTAATCATGTAATCCCATCGCTCGCTCGAGTTACCGAGTTGCTCATTCACATTCGATTTCCGACGACCATAGCCCAGCGGACGAATACCATTAGGGTCTCGGAAGGCGATGATACCGAAGCCGGCTAGCATGGCCACACATGCATAGGCACCGTGACAATGTTTCATCAAACCCGAAATCGCCCGAAAGATATCATCTTCATCAATCCGGAACTTTCCTGTTTTTTGTAGATTGTCAGCTAGGATGTTGAGGAGAAGTTCTGAGTCTGAATCTGTGTTGATGTGTCGATGGGCGTAATGATCAAGATAGTATCGTAGATGCGATGTGTTAATGAGGTTTCCATTCTAAACAAGATGAAAGAGAAAACGACAGTTAGATCAAGCCAAGAATGAAAGCTATCTAAAAAACTAATTACTCACATGTGCCAAAACGATTCCATAGGGAGAGTTAACATAGAAGGGTTGAGCCTCAGCATGTGCAGCACTTCCGGCCGTAGGGTACCGAACATGACCCACGCCCATGCTGCCGACCAAACTTGCCACACTATGAGCATCGAGTACGTCCCGTACCATCCCGTTTGCTTTGCATTGATAGAATCGTCCTTTCGTTCCACAGGTCACCACACCACATGCATCTTGGCCACGATGTTGGAGAAGGTTGAGACCTTCGCAGATGTCAGGTGCCGCCTGTCCCTCCGAATCTGCTAAAATTAGTCCAATAACACCGCCTGGATCCAACACATAATAGAAGCGAAGAATTGTTAGATCGCTGGTCACAAGGATTAAATTTTGAGATCTTGGGCTAGGAGAGGGAGAGAGGAGAGAGAGGGAGTTGACCAACACATTCTTTGAGTTTAACCAGTTTTTCGGAGTAATTGGGAGTCGATGCCGGATAAATTTGGGTGCCAAGGTCAGATCTCCTGCTCAAAGAGTGGGTCTCAGTCTGTAAAATTTATACAAATGCGGCTGTGGAAAGAGGGTTGTGCCGCAGCGGCCGGTTCAAGGTTGAGGCGAAGTTGAAAGCCCCTCCGACTGCGGACTGTAAAAAAAGCTGGAAGCGAGGCTCCGTTGGCAGTACACAAACTCCACATTTGGAGTCTCTGTTGTAATTTTGCTTGTCATTGGTCTCTTTCTGTTTTCTCTTTCACACTCATGCCACTTGTTTATTATGCATCAACCAAGTTCATTGTCTATTATATTCAATCGCTCCATTTTTGGGGTTTGAGGGGGGATTTATAGAGAAAAGGGTAATTTTCAAGTTTTTTCAAAGGGGATAAATGCCACTACTAAGCTTTGTGGAGATTCTCAAGAAAAGGTTTCAGAATTTAAAAATGGCAAAATGAGGGATGAAAACTCAGTGTATGGCACAAAACAAATGAGATCAAAGAGAGAAAGAAAAAAGTGAAAAGTGATCTAAGAAAACATGAAAGCTAACAGTAAAAATAATGATTATACAATGCCCTATACAACCTTTTGACTACCCCCTCAGGGGTGTTCCAATTAAGTTTTTTTTCTTCCAGAGGCTTTTTTTTTCTTTTTTTGCTACTTGTGGCAAATTTTCCTTCTTTTTTCATCTGAATTGTACAGTATCCTCCCAGATGTTTATGTCTGGGGGTGAACTGTCACAAGTTGACTTGCACCCACGCACTAAACTGCAGTGTGCGGGTGCAAGTCAAAATCTTCATCGGCCAACAACCCATCGCAGAACAACCTCAATCATCAACAATTGATCTCGGAACAACTTTGATTGAACTTTGAACAAACTTGGTTGCACTTGGCCTCAGGACAAATCCGATACACAGACATCAGTCTGTATCTTTATTGTTTTTTATCTTCTTTTTTTCTTTTTCTGATTTCTGCTTTGTTTCTTCATTCATATGGAACAGGATCGTTTTTGATGGGACCTATCCGAGGACAGCCCAACCTCACGACCAAGCGGAAGGCTTGCATCGCCGGCATGGTTGAAGCCGGGATGTGTCATGGGCGAGTCACAAGGATTGTGGGCTCCGGACAAACAACGGTCTCTTTGATCGTTTCACGGGCTTGGACTTGTAGGACCGTCGAAACCGCTGAGAAGAGCGGCCTCAATCAAATAGCAAAATATGTCAGGTTGTGGAGGCCTCTAGTGGGCCAATCAAATAATGATTTTTTGGTTTTTATTTTTACTTTTCTTATTTTTTCATTTCATAATCATTATCCCCCACCTATCAGCTACCCTCCCCACTTGATTTTGTATTTTTAAAAAAATTATTAAAGAAAATAAAAAAATTGAATGATCCTTTTATTTTTTTAAAATGTAATGCATTTTGCTTTTTGTTTTTTTTTTGTTTCATATTCCTTTTTATCATCCCCCTATCCACCACTCCACAAAAACACAGAATTTCATGTGTGATAGTTTTTTTTTAAATCAAGTAATTGATGTGTCATAAACAATTGGGAGGATACTGTACATATATGTATGCATACTTGCATCTTGTACAGTGGGTAGACAGTGAAAAGTGGCTGCTTATTTTGGATTCCAGAGCTCCAAAACACAGACTTGAAGTCATGAGACTTGGTCAAATGGTGCAGAATAGGTTCTAAAAAATGAATATGAAAAAATAAAAACAAAAAACAAAGTTTCAAAATTTGTGAAAAATAAAAAATATTTTTTTTTCTCAAAAGCTTTGAAATTCATCTTGGGGGAGTGAGAGTGCTGAAAGAAAGGAAGATTGGGATATTAGAAAAAATGATGATGAATGAATTTTTTTGAAAAATTTCTTTCCAGATGGCTTCAAAGAGCTGTTTATTGGGGCATTCACCAGCCCACATTGCAGTAAAGCACCAGAATTTACTGCTTTGGCTCCAATCTGGACAACCAACACTAGAAAATAAGTCAGGCAACTGCTGCCAGTTGACATGCAGCATGCTCCAATCAAGCCTCAATGACAACTAAGGTCATCCTGTTGACATAATTGAGTGGCACTAACCTGTGGATTCAAAGGGGTGAACCAAAACACTGTAGAATAAACGTCTGAGTTTGACTCAGTTCAGTGTACTAGAGTATGGTGTGAGCTCCTGCATGTCAA